CATGTGTTGATCTGATTGCCAATGCAAAATCGGCTGTGCATTACAGATCCGGACAGATAAGTATAGATCATATTGATCTGTTTTTTTAATTTGTTTTTGTTTACTTGCCTTTGCTTCCTTCGTTTTACTTCCTTCGCTTTACTAACAGATTTATTTTTATTTTTTTTTAATTCATTTATTTAGCTTGTTATTCTTCGTCATGCTGTCGTAGTTGGTGTCGTCGTTGGTGTCATCGATGTTGCCATTAGATTTCCTCTGGATTCAGTGTTTTATATATCTCCGACGTTTTGTGGGTTGATCTTGCGTTTGTGGATGTAGTCTTTCGGGTGGTCTTATAGGTGGTCTTTCGTATTTCTCTACTATTTTTGCGGGTGGTCTTATAGATATGGAATTATCATCGTTCATCGTTGGTGCCATCGTTGCTGGTGTCTCCTTTCGTTGCTGATGTTATTCGTCGGTCCTTTTTGTTGTTGGTGTCGTCGTTCATTGGTGCTTTTTTCATCTTTGACGAGTCGTTCTTGCTGTATGCCATATCATGCCATATATGCTAAAAGAAGATAGAATGGGCTTAGGGTTAGAGTTATAGTGTTAGTGTTAGTTATACGAGGTTTAGCATTAGTATTAGTTATAGGGGTTTAGTGTTAGTGTTAGTTAGTGTTAGTTATTTGGGGTTTAGTGTTAGTTAGTGTTAGTATTAGTTATATGGAGTTTAGTGTTAGAGTTAAGTTAGATAGTAGCGCGAGATTATGTAAGTGTGGATACATATTAGTTGTATAATAAATATGAAATAAATATACCGTAAAAGTCGGACACGTATACTCCCCCATTGCATATACCTTCTACTAGTTTTAAGAGCTAGACGGTGACTTACACCCGGGTACATAAACATTATACATGTATATATATCATCCCAGATAGACATAGTAAAACATATTGTCTCAATACGGCGTACCTCCCGTATAGAGGTACCCCGGGTACAGAGTTGAGAAATGAAAATACCCGGGGTACACGTGTCCGACTTTTACGGTAATTAAAGTGAAATATGTATAGTATAAAAAACATAAGATTAAACAAGTATAAGAGGGTTAAATAGACTTGCAAATTTTAATTTTTATATGTAACCCTTTTTTTGGTTAAGGTTTGGGTAAGCACTAATATAGTCTTTTTTTTGGATTGGATTAGTAGAAAAATTAACTTTAATTTGATAAATTTTTCTTTTATAAACCATACGTACTATCATGAATTCGTCACGTTCATCCTAAATTGCATTTTCATACTGTACTACTTTACTATATTTCCTTGATACAGTACTTGGTAGGTCATGCATCCCAATAAAATTAACCGATTTTATATGTCGCAGACCATAATGAAATCAGTTAATTTAACCCTCTTATACTTGTTTAATATAAACTTTATAACCTCTAATTTTAACCCCTAACCCTAAAGAATGCGCCCAACTGTTAAGTTTTTTTATCCTATACATATTTTACTTTAATTATATTTATTTCATATTTATTATACAACTAATATGTATCCACACTTACATAATCTCATGCTACTATCTAACTTAACCCTAACACTAAACCCTGTATAACTAACATTAATTAACACTAAACCTCATATAACTAACACTAACACTAATACTAACACTAACACTAACTAACTAACTAACACTAACTAACACTAAACCCCGCATAACTAACACTAATCTCAACAGCAGAGGGTCTTTTATTCATATCTGAATCAACACATCGTTTGGCTAATTCAATGTAACATTCTGGAGCTCCTATATTAAATTCAGGTCGCAATTCATAACAAATCTTTACAGATAATTCTGCATCAAAATTGTAATTATTAAAAGTTCTTTTTCTAGTTGATATTTCTATCATAATAATTCCAAAACTATAAATATCAGCTGCTTGAGTGAATCGTTCACTAGTCAAAATCTTAGACGCTAAATATAGCAAAGCTCTATAAATATGGCCTTCTTGTTTTTATCAAACGATATCGATAAACCTAAATCGGTAATATAAGCTTCATATTGTCTTTTAATAAAATATTACCAGAATGTAAATCTCAATGTATAACTCTAACCCTAAGCCCATTCTACCTTCCTTTAGCGTATATGGCATGATACGGCACACAGCAAGAACGACTCACCAAAGACAAAAAAAGCACCAACGAACAACGACACCAATGACGAAAAGGACCGACAAATAACATCAGCGACGAAAGAAGGTACCAGCAATGATGGCACCAATGATGAATGGGAATTTTTCATATTTATAAGACCACCCACAAAAATGTCAGAAAAATACGAAAGACCACCCGAAAGACCACATCCACGAACGCAAGATCAAGCCACAAAACGTCAGAGAAATATAAAATGCCGAATACAGAGGAAATCTAACGGCAACATCGACGACACCAACTATGACAGCACAACGAAGAATAACAAGCTAAATAAATGAATTAAAAAAAATAAAAATAAATCTGTTAGTAAAGCGAAGGAAGTAAAGCGAAAGAAGTAAAGCAAAGGCAAGTAAACAAAAATAAATAAAAAAAACAGATCAATATGATCTATACTTATCTGTCCAGATCTGCGATGCACAGCCGATTTTGCATCAGCAATCAGATCAACACATA